GGGAAGAACAAGATCCACGCCATCAACACGTATGCCCTGCCAGTCATCAGATATCCTGCCAGTATAGTGAGCTGGCCAAAGGAGGACATGGAAGCTGCCGATGTGAAGATCTGGAAGCTCCTCACCATGTACGGAGGTTTCCACCCGAAGTCCAACACCCAGAGATTCTACACTAGCTGGAAAGAGGGCAGGTGAGGTCTGGTGAGTGTGAAAGCCACTATCCTGGATGAAACCCAGAGCATCCAGGAGTATATCAGTAAGTTGGCACCCAAAGCTGAGCTGCTGAGAGAATGCCTGAGGCAGCAGCAGACATGGGAGGAAGTTCAAGTGGAAGAAGTGCCATGGGAAGACAAGCCCCTGCATGGGATGTACCATCGACAGATAGCTGAGATGGCTGACATTGGGAAATCCTACCAGTGTCTGGAAAGGGCCGGACTAAAAGACAGCACTGAGGCACTGATCATAGCGGCGCAAGAACAGGCGCTAAGCACCAGATCCATAGAAGCAGAGGTCTACCACACTAGACAGGACCCAAGGTGCAGACTGTGCAGAGAGGCCTCAGAGACAGTCCAACACATAGTGGCAGGGTATAAGGTGCAGGCGGGAACAGCATACACTGAACGGCACAACCAAGTAGCTGGTATTGTGTGGTAATTGATTCTGCTCCCCCAGCATCTTGATTTTTATAGTCTTTTTATGTATATAATCTTTTTATATAGTATTACTTAGCTAATTTAATATAGATATTTATATTTTTACTCTTTTTAATGTCTGATCGTAATTGTGAGCTGCCCACAGTCATCCTCTGGGGGAGATGGGTGGCATATAAATTTAATAAATAAAATAAAACATGGCCAGCAAATAGCCCTTCCTGTTGAATTCTACGGTAGGATAATTTGAACTCTGAGGTGTACTTCCTGAATTTCTCAAAAATGATAAATTATCCCATTTTGCATCTACCCAGTTCCACTAAAAATCCTTTTGCTGGTATAATCAATTCTGATTCCTGCCCCCCCCCGGAAAACCATCTCCTCTAAGATACTATAAATATATTGAAGTGAAATTTTAGATTTTATAACCTGATGTATTCATTGCTATTGTTTTTAGGACTTGTGAGCTTATCTGCATTGACCAGCCCAATGATCAGTAAGTTTGTTTTCATAGAATAAAAATGGCTAATAATTAAAACTTAGTATTTCAAACATTCAAATATTCAGGCAGAGCAATGGGTAAGGACGGGGTAAGCAGATCCATTTAGTGTTCTTAGCTGAATTTTTCTTTAAATGACAAAGATTCTGATTTTAAATATAATGTTGTCTGTCACTTTACAATCCGTGATGGAGGGGTAGGAATAACTTTAACAAATACTTTTATCATAGTTGAAGAACTTGAAATAAGTTCAGAAGATGGACTAAGAAAAACAGCTACTGATCCAAGCTGTTGTTACAAGGAAATGAACACTATTGCTCCTATCTTGAATTTTTGTGAGTTCTGATAAAGTTAAAAGCAGTAGGGTAGTTGCGTTGTCTTCCCTTCATTGAAGTAATTTAAATGTTAACTTTTTTTTCCTAAAGAAAGCCACTGAAATATTCCTGTGTAACTATTTTCTTGGCTGAAAATCTCTGTGCCATGCAAAATATGGAGTCACTATATTTACAATTGTTTTAAATGGTCAAATGAGAAATCTTACTGTATTTTTATTTGTAGAACTTGTGCTGAAATAAGTTCTTGCTTATTTATAAAACTCTGCTGGATCATGTTTCTTTTGGCAAAAGGTATGAATGTTTAAATCTTATTTATTATTACATGCTATTTACTTGATTTCAAATTGTGTTTATATTTATAACTGAAATAACAGTTTGATTACCTAATTATGTTTGGAATTTCTAGTTTAATGTTATTGGTTCAAGCCAATAGAAAATGAGTAGTAATTAATATTATTGCATGGCTATTATAGTATATTTAAAACCTATCTTTCCTCTGAGATCTCAAAGGGTTGTAGGTGACAGGTCTCTCTTCATATAATTCTCATAATAAAAACATTTGGCTGCAAGAAAATGACGTGCCCCATGTCATCCAAGGAGTTTCATGGTCTAGTGGGACTTGAACTTCGGTTTCTCTATTCCACTTCAACTTTTTAACCAATGCAAGCCCTTCCAACAGCTATCACTGAAGGCAGATATCGAAATATTCCCCTCAATCAAAGACTATGCCCGTGTGGCAAAGGAATAATTGAAATGATGGAACACATCATCTTATATTGCCCTCCCTATGCAGGTGCTCGCCAAGAACTATTATCCCAGTTTTTTGATAAACACCCAGGTCGTTCAGACTCTTTCTATCTCAAGTTGCTCCTATCAGACCAATCTGATCTTATTTCATTGTCCTCAGCTAAATTCTGTTTTACAATCTGTACAATA